GTAACCACGCTGAATGGTAGTTATATTGAACAAACTTTGCCCTGCAAAGATAATACGTCAAGGGCACGCAAGGAATATATCTGAAAGACCTGTTTCTGCTTAGAAACTCTGTTTTTGTTTTGCGAGTTATAGAACAACTGGAAGAAAAATTTCCGTCCTGTATAATCTTGAATAAACTTTTTTATCGACATATTACGGCGGATCGTTATATGGGATCTATACGTTCAGCTTCGAACAGCTCCAATGTAATAACGGCAGCAGCGTCATCATGATCACCATTACCGCGAAACCCAAGCACGTTATTGTCCTAACAATAATAACAATAATAATGATTATAACATGTCTTGAATATGTTATCATTATAATAGTATGCAAATCAAGCTGTTGACAAGCTGAAGCAACATCTGGCGTCTCGTAGGCGAAGATGGAGGGGAACAACACACCTAAATGCATTGTCCTGACGACGTCCATAATGAAAGGGCGCGGTGTGAAGATACAGCGGGCATAGAGCTCCTGTCATTTCTAACCGTCTGCAGAAATAGTAGAGCCAATCTTCAAAGGGGCAAAGGATCGTAGCGTAATTTGAAGGCCCGGACCCATTCTTTTCTTCTTACCACTTGCAAGTAAATCGTTCTTTCATAAATCAGTTGCGTTAAAGGGAATTCATTTCTCCATTTGACAGTCAACGTAAGGCTTCTGGTGGGCGCTCGTGTTGGATTCTATGGAAGAAATTATGTTGTGGCGGCGTAATAGCAGAGGAAGAGGCATCGTCACCATGATCCTCTTCGATATGCGACGGCACCGAAGTTAAGAAAAAACCATAGAATTTCAGACTTTGCCTATAGCTTGCTAGCAGTTGAAGTATCTGGCGATGGACAATATTCAATAGCCCGACGTGGGGGCTCGGAATAACCGTTTCAGATACGACGATGCAACGCCTCTAGTTTCACACTGTTGCTGTTTGCACCGTTTGTCCAAGCGTTCGATAACTAAATCGATCGACGATCTTGTCAAATATATGCACCCCACGATTCACTTTAGCTTAAGTCGCCTCTACGAATCTTATCCACTAGAGCTATTTTCAGGGAGATTTGCTAGCTGCCAAAGATGTCGAATCTCTAACAGTCCTATCAGATGACCAATAAACGACGAAAAATACATAAAATAATTGATTATAGCTAGGGATTCGCTACTTTGTATACTAGTCAAATCATCATTATTATAACTATCGTTATAGTTAAGTGTTTACGACAATGTGATAAATGTGAAAACACTAATATAACAGGTATAGGTAAACACGGTTGGTGTTACTATAAAAAAATAACATATTAAATATGTGTTTTCAATCAATACTTATTGACCAACGGATATTCCTCGTGAGAAAACCTTCCCCGCACCTATACAACACATATTAGCACCCCTGTCAGAATCTGTTGACCATCATTTTTAAATAGCATTTAAAACAGTTAGCATGACAACAGTGGCGTTTGGCAAACATCGAAAATATGTTATAATGATTGCGACAACTCCTGCAGAATGTCTAGGTGTACATTTTTTTATAGGTATTCTTGTTTAAAATTATATCGGGAGCAATACTTAAGGGTGTATGTAGTTTTAGCTAGGGATTCAAGCCACACCGGCACGATTTTACAAGTTGTCAGAATCAAGCACACACACAATGAATTGGCTATGTTATATGTGGAGAGTTGCTCGTCTTGGCTCGTGGGGATGACCGTTCTCAAAGCTATAATGCTAACCCATTGATGAAACGAACGAATCGAATACTTCAAAAAATACTAGTTAATAAATTGTCATATATGTAAAATGTCCGCACGAATTTAGCGTTTGCTGCTTCTGTAGAAGGTGGCAAGCTGTCGCTTTGCGTTAACGAAAACATCGTATTTTACCCAAAGAGAAAACTTCTTATGAGGCTCGTCTATTCCGTTTTTTTTTTTTTTTTTTTCTATTTTTCTGAAAGTACTTGTCTTTTTATATCCAATCATAAATGAAATTCGTTCATTACATGGAAGAACAATGGACAAATACAATTCTGAAGAGACTGTAGACACCCTGCCACACATGGGCATTCGGAAAAATTTGCAACATCGACCGAGCCTACATATAAGAATGATAAATCATACAAACACTGCTTACATGAATAGCTTGTGTGTCTTTCATGGGCCTTAGTCTTGTCTAAGGGCTAAAATAAAAAAGATTAGCTTTTCCCTATATGGATATAGAATCAATCGTTTGTTTTACTTCTACTAGAATTACTAGTGAACCTGAGTTGCAATTTAGACTGAGTTTGGCTTCTGTGACAACAGTTTTTATTTCAATAAGCTTAGACAGGGGAAGCCATCTGAGTTTCTTTTTCTTTTTCGTAATGTTTTTGTTGAAAATTGCCCATGGCATATTGCAAGATTGTGAAATATTTCACTAAAAATTAAAAAAAAAACTTGGACCCTCTTGCACAGAAGTACTTAACCTTGCGTTTCATTCTTTCATTTAAGATAACTCTTAAGACGCCTACATTATGAAATCTTCCGAAGTGTTATCCCAGACTACTACAGATTTTAAAAGCTCTGAGAAAAAAAAATATAAATATAGCTAAAAGTCGACAAATGGTGGCCTAGGTATTTTGTTTCGGAAACTTCTCGTATGCCCTTGCCATTACCTCGCTATGAGATTTCAGTTTTAAGGCACAGCTCACATCTTGTACAGAGTGTCATTAAAGATTATGCGATGCAACCCAGTACCGGTTTTTTTTTTTTTTTTTTTAACTACTTTTGGATACGATAGGGGCTCGATACACTGAGTGCCACGTTGTACACCATATATATATCTATATATATGTATATATATATCATCTTGATTACTCTGGAAAGCAGCGGGTGGTAGCATAAAACATTGCTAAAAATGTCATATAGTTAAGTGAACTGCGTTGGAACTGCATTTAAAGTATGAATGTATATTCGCATTTACTATATGAGTTATTTTTTTTTTATTAATTCCCACCTAGGGTTTTGTGGTTTTAGATCCGTAACGTTACCGCTTACGATAACTTGCAAGCCAAGGGTGCATGGTAGATGTCGCCTCCTTCAGTGGGTTCTTCCCACTGAACATTCTAAACAGACATATACAAACCACCTTCACCCCCTCCCCCCCCCAAGTGAGCCTTGGTCCGGACGGATATTCGTTAGGGGATTCGGGGGCGTTTTATCTATCGCTTCTTTGCTCTTTCCTATCTTCAATCTTAAAACTCTACAATCCTAAAACTTTAACTATGTAGCCCTTTGCCAGCCACCAATAACCCGTTTCGCGCTACAATCTCCCTTCTAGTTTGATGCATTCATTTCCTCATGAGCTACTACTAAAAAAAGCTAGCGGCATTATTATTGTTGGTGCTGGCAAGGCTATCTTTCATTCTCCGCGAGTTTTGTTCCATCCGTATATGATAATCCAGTACAAAACTAGCTGATCTCTAATAAGCTGTTCTGCATTACGGCCGACAACTCGAATCTGCTGCGAGAACGCTTGCGATACTTCTGAACGTTACTGAGGGGTTTGCTAGTTGCGTTATCTATCCCCCAGCTATACGAATACGACTCTGTCGATCTCTCGTCATTATATATATGATTACCATGTACTCTTGGTAAATTCATCATTTCCTTAAATTCATCGATGGACCAGATTAAATCACAAATTTGAGACGTCTTTCAAAAAATTGAACAGTGTGCAGTGTTGAACCACGCGATTGTCTCGAGCGATTGTGTAGATGGCTAGGAAAGATTATGACGTTATGAACTAGTAATAAGGTCGTTTGCCTAAAGGGTTTGAGTGCCCATATCTAGATGCCTAACATTTTGCCTTAGGTTGAACCTGCTCTGGAGCCTAAATATAAGTCTCAGGTTCTCTGCGTTTTGCTCAGGCTCATAGATGTTTGCTCCTCATAAACAGTACTGTCACGATCGGTTTTTCTTCAGTTGTTTTTTTTTTCGTAACGATAACGGTTTTTGGTAGACGTGATAGTGGGCAAGAATAGGGGTCCACTTGATTAGAAACTATTTACCGCTTTATCATAGAAATTTATCTTCTGCTTCTTCTACAAACGGATTCGCCAACTTCAATGCTCAACGACTACATACCAGCTAGAGGGAAGCTATCCTTAGACTGATACTCGCTTGAAATTTTAATCATTAGTTGCGTCTGTAAAATGGAAAAAAATCGTACTCACATTTATTGATAACATAATTGATCTTTCTTATCCAACCCTAATTCAAATATAAATTATGATGAAAATCAGTCTTACTCTATTTTTTAATCATTTTTAAATTAGTATTCCTCCATTTTAAAATAGTAAGTTTACTTAAGACTTGATACATCGGTGCAAGATTGAGCGAATCTGCGCCTTAGCAAAAGACATTGTTTATCAAACACGGAAGGAAGCATAGAAGCCTCGATTTGTTGCGCGAATGCGGGGAGCTGTCAGCCTAGATAATGACCTCTTGATAAGTACTGTTTGAGAGATTGGTCTTTCTCAGTAAGCTGTATTGATAGTATTGAAAGGTCGTATTGTAACAGCTTAATTTTACCTGTTTTCGCAGTATTTTACTTGGCGCCTTTTTGGTTTCCAAACCCGTATAGTTTATTTGAAAGAATATTTTTGCTAATGTTATTGACAATGGTCGAATGACCTTTGAGGACAGCAAAGGCACGGATTTTCCTCTATACCTTTTATAGTGAAATTGTACCAGGCCATGAGCCCAGAACAATCTCATGGAACTATTGCGTCAACTCAAAGCGACCAACAGCTAATTAGCTATGTTATCTCCCTCCCTCTCTATATATTAATTGACGTGTACGCCAGAGTCCTGTTCTATTCCTCGTCGGCTTGTTTCTGCGATCAACCCAGTCTGCCTGGTGCCAGTATTTGGCCAGTGGAAAGCAATCAGGTCTTCTCTTCCTAGCTATTCTTCGCCCGCGCGACAGAATAGTCCGGGACCTCATGCTCACATCCATCCGACAGACGCCGACACCCTCGCCGAATCGGAAAGGGCAGCGAAGTCGAGAAGGAAGGGTCGAAATGGGTCTGGGTAGACCATGGTGGCCGACTGCACGAGGCCTGTGAGGCTCGCGTGATTCAGAGTTTACCCGACGAACCTAAGTGCCGGACGCGTAGCTCGGCTGCACCTTCATAGGAACAAAAATTAGCGTGGTACTAAAGTTCCTACATATATATACACGTCTGCACTCAAATAGGGCGGGTTTACCAGCATAGCGTTCGTTCGCTTAAAAAACCAGCGACGTCGAAAATCTTGTCGCTGTCATTATTCTACCAAGTGCGTTTCGGAAAGCTCTTCAGCTTGCTCTTCAAGGCCAAAGACCGAGACAAGATACGATTAAAAGTTTTCGACCACAGTGGGCGCTGTGCTGCAGCCATAGATGATCGAGCAACAAGATTCAGGTAGTTAACATTAGGATGTGCAAGGTGCGTGTCTTCTAAACCGATGGTACAATAATTGAGCGCGGACTAGTAACAACGGAGAGAGTGTTTAGGAAAACAGTGGTAAGAGAGAGAGAGAGAGAGAGAGAGAGAAAGAGCCAGGCAGAACAAGAGGGAGAAAAAGAAATCATCTCAAGACAGTGTGGTATAACATCAAAAAAAAATATTAGGTGACAGCAATTATCCCGGCTCTACGTCCGTGACACTCGTTGGATTGCTATTGCCATTGTTGGAGAGTGCTTCCCGTTGTGGTAATTGGCAGTCGTGTACTTGCTGTCGTGTGTGGCGTGTTTTTTGTGCAGGACCATCCGTACTTGTACTAGTCATCTATAGCCAGAAAGGTCCACTTACATTGAGTCATCCCGGTGTAACCAGGGTTAGTGATGCAACTGCACTGGGTGTTAGTGGGGGCTCTCGGAGCACTGGCGTACAGCGCGCACGAGGTGCTCGCCAAGGAAAAACTTCGGATACCCATCGGTTAGTTGTCCTCTTGATCCTGTCAGATGTTTTCAGACAAGATTCTTAAGATCGTGCGACAATGGTGGAATGCGCATGCCTTGCAGTTAGTCTTGGGATTGTACGATGCACGAGGATTACTGAGATAATGACGCTGTGACCAATGTCACAGGACCTGTAACTAATGAATGAGAATACTACTCATATAGTCATCCTGCTCTGTCTGTTTTTGCACATTTGCATCTGATATTCGGGTTATTGGTTATGAATGCGGAATGCGTCTGAAAATAAGTTAGAGGGAATACTAACGAGAACGACTTCTAGTAACTTTCCCTTGCCAATTGGACATATACCGAACTTTATAAGTTGTCAGCATTTACCAACTGTTGCATAAACAATACGTATCTACTATTTATTGTTCCAAGCAACTCTTACAATTGTCTTTGCGCATATGATATAATTTTCTTAGTTGGTGGAATCAGCAAGTATGGTCTGGCCGCTGCCAGATCAACTTCAGCACAACTTTTCGACTTAATGTTTTTTTAAAGAGACACAGTATCACGCGTCCAATTTAGCTTCAGTCTATTTAAGTGTGCATTAATTTAATGATGTGATGATGATTAAACTTAGGAACAAGGAGATTTCAGTTCTTCACTGCTAGAAGGAGAAAATCTTTTTTTGCCGAAATCCAGATCGAAATCCAGTAATTACCTGCACAGTGACTTCCTTCTGTTATTCAGTGAAAATAGTTTTCTAAGCTTTCATGCATATCGCGGCTGTAATCGTTATTACTGTTGCCTGCATTGCTCAGAATGAGGGAAACAGCTTCACCGCTAAATTTCTATTGTGCAGGAACTTAACTTACGACGTCCATAGATCTCGAACTTGAAGTTTGCTTAGTTGTTGCAACGTTTTATTTCTTATATTGTAGTTATGGTCGGTAATCCAGCTTTATTCGAGGTAAAAACCAAAGCTTTTGTATTAATATAAAATACAGTAAGTCACTTCAACGTCATGCTACTGTTTTTGAGTAGCCTGGGTAGGGGTTTGAAGAGCCCTGGAATATCAAGGGTGCCGGGTGCCCTTTTTTCGAGCCGCAGAGGACGGTTGAGCGCTACTTATTTCACAAAAATAACTTGCACTAAATATCGTTTTTTAAAGCTATTAAGGAACAGGAAAAGTCTTTCACAAAATACATATATATACATATAAATATGCAGGTTACCTATGTATAATAAAATACAACTATCAATTGACTTTTGCTCACTTTTGTCACGCCAGCATGTTCTTTCACTCTAGAATTTACTAGCCTGCTAGGACAGCACTCTCTGTTCCTATTTTATAATACGTTTAAAGATATATATATATTATATATATATATATATATAGCTAATTCAAGCGCAGATATGATACAGCAAACGTACTCCCGCCTTCTTAGTGTATCGTATACTCGTCAACAATAACGCAGCCGAAATGGAAAAAGCTGGTAGTAGTCAATGTAACGAACAACTGACCCCACACGAAGAAAACGTAACATTAAAATAAGAAAGATATTTTGCTAAAATTGGTTACTATAATATAGATGGAATCAACGATATCTCCAAAGGGAAAAGGGGGCATATTAAAGGTATAGATGTCCTGCCCATATTTTAGACAGAAATCCTCGAGGAATTGTATATGCTTACACGACGTTCCACCCTTAAAGACAAAACGATTAACGTTTTTGTAACATAAATCGACTGTGGGTTGTTTTGGGTGTGTCCCAATGGCAGTTTGACAGGTCGGGTATTTTAGTGTTGCAGGAGTACAAGTTCGGGACTCGGTGTCACCATTCAGATTTGTCATAACAAGCCTTGAATCTTGCTGCGTTTCTTCCGGAACGACGGTTATGTCATTCGACGGAATTGTGAATTAGGGGCAAACCTTTAATTACACGAAACAATGATACCAGAATCGTATTTAGAGTTTATGTTATGGCAGCCGGTTACCCATATCCAGATGCGGCATCAAGACGTTGTGTCGTTACCTTCAGCAGCATCTGTCCATATATATATATATAAATAAAAATATGATATATAATCTTGAACTAGTGGAAAATGGTTTATGCAAATAGTAGGAGAATCGCAGTAAACCAGTTTGGTAAGTTATCGCCATATAGTTGTGGTGTATTTTTTTGTTTGCCTATAAAACTCTCCTTTAGTAGTTGCCTTTTAGATTTCGTTCATATATGATTGGTATAAGTTGGGCGTTTTGGGCAGCACACACAGCATCGATAACGGCTCCTATGAGGCTATAGTATGCAATATTTCAAAGTAGCGTACGTATCTCTGATTGATCTACTGTGAGGGATGTTTTTCGTTTAATGCAAATTTATTCCTCTGTAGATGCCTACTTCAACTCGAAATTGATTGTTTATGGAATTGAATTTCGGTTTTGAAGACCACACATACCTTTCGAGTCAAATCCCGAAGAAATAATCTTGTGCCTCTTCTAAAAGCTGTCATATACGAAGGAGGTCTGTTTATATTTATATATATTGACAGTAACAAATGTTGGCCACTTGTTACCGCTTTTAGTTGGAACCATGCTCTGGTAAGGTCAATCATGGGTAACATTTTACCTTTGTTAGGTTTCTCAAAAATTCCTCTTGGTAAATAGATGTAATGGTCTTCGAAAGCGTTGCTTAGGCCGAGTACTGAAGTCGACGTCGAGCCGATGGATGCTTTTAAAAAAAAAGTATAATTAGAAGTGTACGACTATAGGTAAAGTGACATCGCTTTCGGTTACACGCTTATTTCGAGTATGCGACAACATTATTTTACTGACGATCGCTACTGGATAACACCGAGTGCAAGAGTCAGACGCAATGACTTAGCGGTAATAGCTTTGGCCATCAGCGAAAGCTAGTGGAAAAAGAAAAAAACCTGCTTTAATATATCAACGAGTTCTCATTGTTTTTGATTTAGTTGAGTAAGAGTTGAGTATTTTTGAATGAACTCATCTTCACCTTCGACGCGAAGTCTTACCTTTTTTTTGGCCATGATCGTTCTGCAAAACTTCTTCTTGGCTCTTAAAGGGCACAGCATCAGCCCGCTAATTTGTCACGTCGATTCAGCTATAGAATCGAACAATCCACGGCGTTCGAAGATTTTTTGCTTAGGGAATTCTTAGTCTTGTTTGGAAAACGTTTGATTTTCCCATCGCTTTGCTACCTCTAACACTTGTTTTTGTGACGTTTCCTTTTGCGTCCAGCCTCATGACTATCCGTCAACTATCAACATCGTTTTCGTTCTGAATTCTCAATCTCTGAATTATGACGACCACTAGCCCTAATCGTCTGAGGTTCGTTTCATCAGCCGCGTAGGCGATAACATCGTCCCCTGGGATTACTCTGATATTTGATAGCTAATTGATTGTTGCATTGCTATAAATATGTATGTGCTTCAACGTGTCGTAGAGTCATTTAGCGCAGTATACTATGCTGCTTATTACCAGAATTACATGATGACAGTCGTTATAGAAAAGCAGTTGTGGCGCAAAGACATGTGCGATTTCATCAGAGACATGATTCAAAATGTTTGCGCGTTTGAAGTTTATCTTTCGAAGTCAAACTATCGACACTTGGAAATTCGTCTGGCGTCACTTTTCAGATCAGTAATAACAAGATCCTTTACAAAAAGCTTTGTAACCATTATTTGTCGGCCACCAAGCCCACTAAAGGCTCCATTCTTTCCAGCCTTCTTCATCCCACTCCCGTCGCTTTGCGTTTCGCTTTTGCTCTTCCCGTCACGCGCTCCCGTGGCCCCGGCAGTTTCTACTACTGTTGCTGCAACCGACTCTTCATGAATCTTCATTACACAATTCATGAGGAAGCTAGCTGCTGTATCCGCGCCCATAAAGCTTCGCCATTGGCTGCAGAACCGACTGTGCTGGAAAAACCAGTAGAGGCCGACGCAAATAACGGTTCTGCTTCGTAGACAGAACAACTCAGCAGAAGCAGTGTATGCTAACAGCGACGAGGGCAATGGCACCGCCGGTGACTCGGTAGCTGGCGGAGGGTTAGGACGTGGGGGGGGAGGGGGTTTCAAGTTTGTATCGCGTCGCATTCACCATCGGCGCTTGTCGTCGTTGTACCGCTGTTTTGTTCTCCTCCAGCTCCCTGCCTGCTTAGGTCTGCGCTCTTCACTCAGCTGTTTTTAGCGGTGGTAGCAGCAGCAGTAGCCATAGTAGCAAGAACGGCTATCCCACCGAAGCCGAAAAAAGAAAGCAGCTAAACAGGGGTTTGGGCGGGAACGTGGTACGAACGACTGCGAAGGCAGACGCAGTCATCATGGTAGCGATGAGAGTGGGCAAAAAGGTCATTGTGGCCTAGCGAAAGCTTTCTACCGGCGTGTGTTAGTAGATCGCCCTGGCTGGCGATGCAGCATAAGCTCGACCTTACTGTTCCAGCGCGCCTTCGCACGTTGACTGCCCCCAGCGCACCATCGGCCGTCATGCCACTATCATTGCTGCTAGTATTTTGCTACCTAGCAAATGGCGGCTAGAAGCAAACAAAATAGATGAACGATGAGGAGCAGCGGCAGCGACGCGCAGGCGGTAGGAGAATAGAATACATAAAGCTCGAAACTAGCTCTCTAACTACGACTCTTCAAGATTCGATCCTTCTCAGACGCTGTTCTGCGACGTTGCACTGACACTTCTCGGCCACGATTCACCTTCATGTCAAAGTCAGCGAGAGTTCTGGCGCATAGAAAAACCGACTGGACGAGTTAGGGCAACAGCGAGCGAATGTAAAAGACAGACGTACGGCAGATGGACAGGCCGATATCTATGCTCAGGGCCAACATCGCCGCAGTCATCCCGCACACCAGACCTGAATACAGTGTCGCTGTAAGCAGCGGATGCTGTAGCAGCGCTGCTCGTGGGTAGTCGACTAGTAACAGCAGCAGCAAAATTATTATTATTACTCTAGCGTCTGTATGTTACGCGACGGCTGTACTTCAACCACTTAATACAACAAGAACAAACTTGTATAAAGGGCTCGGTATATATCAGAATGTGTCTCCACAAAACACACACTGCGTTACGATTCGTTTGCCTGCAGCTGCAGTCTCACCTTCTCTTCTACGAGGCGGTGGCACTAAAGCGTCGACAACTGCTGGTTGGCACGACATCAGTACTGCACCGTTGTCGTCGCCGCCATCGTCATCCACCCGTACTTTTCCTCTACTATCGCAACGGTGTCTACGAATACGTTTCTTATCCCACGTCTACCTCCTGCTAACGCTGAAAATGCTAGCGTCTTTGTTGCTCCCCCTGCAGCGGTTGGCGCTACGACTGCTCCTATTCTATGACACTGCGACGTCCTGGAAAGAGAAGATGATCTGAACTGACTTACTTGGCGTTTGCGTCTCCCTGTTTGTTACGCTAATATATATATATATATATATATAGTTGCAAGGCAATATGTACAGGCTTAATGCAGCTGTTACAGGCACTGCTAGCGCCATGTACAACGAACGCCACGGTCTTTGTATGCGGTGCCGGCAGGTGAATGAACGTAATCCGATAACAGCACAAGTGAACTTTCCACCGTATCTATGAGTTTTAAAAATTAGCCATCGCTTGCAACGTTGCAAAACACTCAATGGCTGCGCGCATTTCATGTTGAATAATATGATTTTGCATTAGCAATATACGTGACAGTTGATAGCGGTAGTAGAATTGCGAGCAGAGGTAGTAGGCTCCGCTACCACCCTAGGTTATCGAGCAACAATACTTCTGCACGAAATAAAACAAAGGGACGAGCGGTTTCTCACTGCAGACCTGCAGCTACCGACTGCTTTGCCGGAACTTGAGGGAGGCCTGCAAACCTCTTGCCGGGCAAGGATACGCTGAATACGAAAAGCATTAGGGGGAATTGTAGCCCTGGTATTTTTGTGCGGATCACTGAGCGATCGAATGAGCGGTTCTCGGCGGTTGGTGGAAACGTTGAAGGGATCTTAGAGAGCTGTATATGCGTGTGGGTGAGCATTTCTTCTTTCGTCATGCGCGAGAAAATGGGTGGAAAAAGGAAAATGACAAGAGAAAGAGAAAGGGAAATGGGAAGGCGCACTGTAAGCGTATATGGCGATGTCAGAAGCTGCTACAGCACCACCAGTCACCGGAACACGGGCTCGGGCTATGGCACACGGCGATCTGTTGGGCGTCCAAAGAAACGGAGGGGCGCACAGGCGGCGTCTTCCTTTTACGTTAAGAGGTCTTTTGGGCTCTTCATGTAAATGCTGCCAGGCGCTTTGCATTCTCGTTCGCGCTGACGAACGGGATACGCACATGCTGGAAGATGACTATGGAAGAAAGAAACGTAGTAGTACGAGCCAACAAACAGGGGCTGTGTCGAAGGGACAAAGCATGAGATCAGAAGAGCGGAGGCCTGACGTCGGAACCCAACTCAACGCTCGGCTCTTTACCATACGCATCTTTTTCCTATGCGTGTGCAAAAGTTACTTCGAGTTGAGCTACATTGCGAAACCGCCGGCTGATTCACAAGCAGTTCGCCACTGCTGCTACCTACAATGCGCCTACGACTACTGTCTTTAGTGTAGGTGGAACGTTATGTAACCTGGCAATCCAATGGAGGCCGAAGCTCTATTGCATGCAGTGAGAGGCAACGGTATCCGTTTCCCACGCGGAATCTTTCACAGCCTGCATCTGCTGCACGCCAAACATTTGACGAGTGACGGTTAGGTACATGGAGTAGCGTATTGAGTTAGTGCGCCGCGGGAACTTTGGCTTTAACTGCCCCGCCCGTCTTTATCTGAAGTGTCGAGTTTAAGATAAATGAATTATGGCGATAGTACGAGGAGAAGCCTCTACACAACATTTGTCATCAATAGTAAGAAGCTTCAATAAAAGAGAAAAAAGCTATATCAATCGGTCGCAAAGCGACTCGAAAAGGTATGTTAATTTCTTTTATTTTTGTGACTATACAAGTAAGCTATCTAAATCACATCAAACAAATAAATTTCATCGCACGTATTTCATTTTGTCATAGGCACCAATATGATAGATATGAGAAAAGCACTCGACCTTTTTCGGGACTACGTCTGCTGCCTTTTGTTAAATATTGCAATGTCCTGATTTCGCCAAGACTAGCCATGATTAAGATTCGCTCTGCTAGCGCTGACTTGTGCATCCTTCGTCCTATTGGCGCGCTCTCTTACTGGCAAAAAGCGGTTTCATTTCATTCATGTGTGAGAAATTTAGGCAGGGAAAAAACCGGAAGAGTCTCTAGTACGCTTGTTGCTTGCCTTTGACGATTCAGCTAACATTTATTGCCAAGGAATCATAATTGCGGGTGTTTCTGGGATGCGCGACAGCCAACGTCACCACTGAAAATCGGAACAAATAGACAAACGGCACAACGAGGATTTTGTTGAAAGCAACGTTGTCTTCTCTAATCCACGAAAACGACTTTGAGACGCCACTGATACTTATAATAATAGTAACGTCTAAATTTCGACGAAATTTTGATTCAAGTGACGCTATTTACGAAGACACTTGTATATAAGCAAACATCTATTATTATTAACAGTATATGTATATACTGTCCTCAGGGTTGATCTTACAGTCGTGGCCTTCCAGCAGTAGTACAGAAAGGTAGTAACCAATGGCAGAAGAATCGAAGTCGTAATCCTTTTCCTCGCTGGGGCCAAGGTATTTTCTGTCCGGAGACTTTTTCCAATAAGACTTTCCGCCTTTTCCCTTTGGCAGTATAATATATTACTATCGGGCAGTTGTACTGCTCAACGGCGAATATACAAAGCATGCTTGAGTCCTACTGCAGAGCTAGGCCCGCTAGTAATCGTGGAAGAATCAGCCACGACAAGGGACTTCTCTAGAGTACGAAGGCCGATTCTTTTCCCTTTTTATAAGTATGCTTTTTCAACGATTTCTCAACTTCACCCAAAGCTGGACCAACACTCGGTGCGCCACTGGTAAAAAAGCACTTGTATACGGATATTCTTAGTTGTAGATTTTATTAAATACACGCTGTTGGTCCGTATCGAATGAAGCCAAAATAGGGTTGCACATACCGATGTTCTATGCCTCGTGTCTATGTTACGTCCTGTTTAAACCGATAAATGAGGCGGACTTTCAAACGTGTCTGTAGACCGGGGACGTGCGGCTCCACATGTCTCCTGTCAGCAAAGTGACTTGAAGCTATCAGTTTTTTTTCTCATAACTCGTAAGTGGGCGTTAAGATCTCCCCGGAGAAGCTATCTTTCCATAGGAAGAACTTATATCTTTATAAAGTCTCTCACAGAACGACCACTCACTGCTTCAAAAAAACTTCG